AATTTTGCCCGCAATATGAATCGAACCCACCGAAGAAAAAAGGGTAAAAAATAACTGTCTGAACAAGCAGATCATGCCGCTATCATGTGCATTAAACAGTAACTTAAACTATGCTCTTCGCCGTATGTTTAGAAGACCTCAGAATATTTCGAAAAACAAACAGTTCGAACAAACTGAGCTGAGTTTACGGGCCTGAATATTTCTGGCGCGGATGAGAATGAGTGATAATAATAACTATGAGGATTGAAAAATACAAGGAAGTAGAGAGAACCTTTATAGGAAACTGATAGACGCATGATTAAGTCTACAAAAATGCCGATGGAAAAACATTCACTGCCAAAATTTGCAACAACATGCTGGCAAAACATAACTACGATGTAGACATAAGTAAACGCTGTGGCGATGGTTTTTAAATTGTTTCTTGATGATAGACTAGGAAACTCGGTAGCAAAACAATAGCAATGAAACACTTCGGCAAGCAAATATCCATTTGTTTTGTTCTGCACTATCAACCATGCAACAGGAAAATACCTACAGGTTCAACAACGGGCTGAGAATCGAAAATGCCAATAACAGTTTGAAAATCACTCCAAAACTATCGTGATAATGTCATCGGACATCATATTCCAAGAGATCACCGCCTTGAGACAAACAGCGGCTTCAACTGCATCATACCGAGCTCAGTTATCAATTGTTGTGTACGTACAAGGGGAACACGGCTCTTACCTAGCTTGGGAAACATTAGAGGCGCAGATAAGTTACTAGCTGAATAATTTTTGAATATTTTTTTGAAGTCAGGAGTTGATAAAGTGCGATGGCCGAAGCTCAACAACGAACCGGAGACCGCAGGAACTGATAAAAAAAAAGTTCGAGGATCATTAGGCGGCTCGAACTGCTCGCGGAGAGGGCTACGATTAGTGCGACATAAGGTACAGCACACAGAAAAATAGTTCGAGCAGCAACAGTCAGTTTATTCATGCTGTGTCGAACTATATATATACAGATACTGACTTATGAAAATTATGCTGCAAGGAAAAACAAACATTTTTAGTAATAATTAATTCGCATACCATCGAAGAAAAGTCTTCTACAGAATAGCCCATCTGATGCACCTTTGCGCCTTCCTCTGTCTTCGGTTGTTTACCACCGCAGAAGGATGTGATGTGCATTTTCATCGAAAGTACAAAAAAGTACTCTATCTTTCACCCAACACTACGTCGATCATCTAATCGATGAATCAGGCTTGATATTGCCAAATTCAAAGCTCGTTATTTACGTAAAGGAAATGAATTCTACGGGCGGAGACCTTCAATTAACGGTACTAACAAAAAGTCTAACAAAATTTTTTAAGGTGAAAAAATTTGCGTTAG